CGCTGAGTTGGATTTTCTGTCTCCAATTGAGTATCGCTTACCTCGCGTGAGGTAAGATTACATGAAAACAACTTTTCTTGGTGTTTTGGGAACGTTTCATCCAACAGATGTCCATACCATTCCCATTTATAGGGACCTGCTGGAAAAATACTTCTCTTTTTTTTTTCTTTTAGAGCACTTGGACAAGTGGAGTGACTGCTGGAAACAGCAGTGCTGTCATAAAAGTCAACTTTGTTGGAGAAAGTTTTGAAAGCACAACTGCGATGACAAAGCTCCGTTGCACCGTTACCGTCTCTGTGACGTTCTCATGCAAGCCCAGATCGAACACTTGACTACAATATTCATGATTAACATATAGCAGATGTGTGTTTTTCATAAAGGTATACTTCCCAGAAATGAATGTTCTGTAAGCGGCCCCAAAGACTTCATATGCTGATTTTGGTGCAAAAATCCAGTACCGCTGAACATGTGTAGCCATCAAGGTGTCAAGAGAAGAGACTCTTCCACCAACCCGGGGCAGCCGACATAACGACAAAGTGATACAACAAGAAAGCTATTTCAGAGTTCGGTCTGGATTTGGGGAACAGATGGCGAAGCAGTTGGTGGGAATTTCAGCAACACTTCCATCAATGTTGGATGGCCACACTTACACTTTCCCAGACTTACGAGACAAGGTTTGTGAGACTCTACTTGAAGTCAACAAATTTACATTTGAGCGTGAGACACTTATCTGGTGTTTTTTTTTTTTTTTTTTTTTGGTCAGCGTTATACAATTACGGAGGATTGGAGAATCGTCCTCAGAAATCATTAGCTTAAATACTGGGGCGTCCAAAAATGTTTCTTGCAAAACATAAAAAAACTAAAGCATGCAACCCAACCCAAACCCACGATTGCTGGCAGTACAATAAAACCTCCAAAAATCTCAAAAGTATCAACAAAAAAAAAAAAAAATCCTCCTGTCCCTGATCAGAGGAAATTATGAATCATTCTTCCCAGCAAGGTGGCCAATCATTTTGCAGCATAACATTTGTTAACCTTAGTATTTCTCATGTGAGCAAAACATTCCTTAAACAGGTGGCCCTCACAGTTCAATACGGTAAGGGTGGTTGAAACATTGACAAAAATTAACAAATAAAGAAGAGTGAGGAAATGCGAGTGTTAGTGCGGAGATAGGGTGATCCAAGAAGGCAGAAATGATGACAAAGACATTTTCCTGGCATGCCTTCTCAACAGGAAGGAAGTAAGATGAGGAAAGTCGCTGCGTGACGATTGAAGGGAATTGTGGGTGGTGGTGTCGGGCAAACAGAAGCAATTGCGATGCACCACGGGAAAGAGTATGGAGAGAGAGATAGCGTTTATATATTGCATTCATTAATTGTTTAAAGGCGGCCCGGTAGTCCAGTGGTTAGCACGTCGACTTCACAGTGCAGAGGTGCCGGGTTCGAATCCAGCTCCGGCCTTAAAAAAAGAAGCAAAAAGACTCAATAATTTCCAATCTTAAAGATGTGAAAATATTTACGTTTAATGTTCGCTATTTGAACACATTCACAGAGGTGGGCATCCGTCACGAAGTTTCTGTCAGTATTTCAGTCTGTTTTAAATCTGTTTGAAGTGAGCCAGTCCTTCTAGTCATTGGCTGGATTGTCTTGGCACAAGGATGTGAAATGCGCGCATTAACAGCTTTCCGTGCACGAATGCATGGCTCAATCAATGTCCAAAAAGTGATCCCACTTCAATATTGATCTCCATCAATTGTATTACGGGTTATGTCACCATTCTAACCTGATCAACGCCTCCACAGTCGACCATTTTGATTGATGAGACTTAAGCCTCAGAGTACTTCCATTCAAACCAGCCACCAACATCCACTGCATTGCTCAGCACTTTTATCACAATAGTCGCTCATATACAAATACTCGATCAAATGATCAAACGCATAATGCCAATCGAGTTACGTTCGTTGAACACACTACACAAGATGCGACGACACAAGACTCCCTCTGATATGAATAAATCATCTTCCTGTGGCAGATGCATCGTCCCCGGGGAAAGAATGGACATACACACAGGAAAGCGGAGGAGTGGCTGCAGCAAGCCATCCCAATTTACGTTGCAGACAGAACAATTGGCCCTATCTTGATGGCCACTCTTGCAAATGTTTCCTGTCTCTGCAAAAGCAAACGCTGAACCGTAGTTTCGGCGTCGTACGTTTCGCCGACGCAATCAAAGGCATATAAATGCAACGCGGTGGTATGTTTCGGGCAATTCATCAGATAGTAGGTTGAAAATCACTCGGTAGAATCACATAGTAGCGTCCTTGACTTCCAGCTAAACTTTTTCCGCTCAGTTTGGTCTCGAGGAAGCGCAAACAAATTGAAACGTGCAAGCAAACCCAAAACGAAGAGGACCGGGGTTTTTTTTCGCAAGGCTGGGGGTAAAAAAAAAACGTTTTAACATGCTTAGAAGATGTGTCGGCGTGAACTCACCTTTTCATTCGCAGCACCTCATTGCCACCCTTTCACTTCGTTTGTGTGATCGTCAAGGAACAAATTCACACTCTCGCCAGTCGGTCGCTGATGTTCATCGAGGGAAAAAAATGTATTGCACATAAGGATTTCGAGTAAAAAAAAACAAACGATCCAGTCCTTTTTTTGTGTGTGTAAATGTTGGATCTGTTGGTCGTGCACTGCGCCTGCCGCCTCTGGTTTGTTCAAATCAGAAGTTCATCCAAAGTTGCAGCGATTCGCTCCGCCTCTCGTCACCGATGAGGTCACCAGCCTCTCCGGCCACACGTGGACTCTCGTGAGAACAAGCGAGGTTTTCACAGGGGTGCCGTGTAATCTCGCGATATCGTAGAAAATGGCGAGTGTCAAGATTTCTGCTCCGGAGACGGGCAGCATGTTGCCGTGGCAACCTAATCTCCAGAAACAGTTGGAGCCTGTAGCGGCAAATTTAGTTCAATAAAGTTTTTCAACACTATCACTGAGTTTGGTCCTGCTTTTTAAATGCATTGATATGGATTGGAGACATTGAAATGCAGCTGTCGTGTAAGACGGGTACAGTTAGTTTATTTTCTCATCATTCCACCTGCTGTTTTTTTTTTGTTGTTTACGGACACTGAATAGGCATTTAAAATCAAAATCCAGGAATTCATGATGACATTTTAAATTCTGATTTAATTGGCGTTGCCATTTACTTGCTACTAATGAATGTGTGTGTATTTCAACCTTCCACCTCTGCATTCATTATTCTTAAATGCCGTATTCAGGTTTACATAAGAATCGAATAAGGCCAACGGAAAGAAGATTCCCATGATTAAAAATCCTCATCAGTTCCTGCAGCTCTGTAGGTCTCACTGCTGCTACCCACCCTTTTCTGTCATGGGGCGTTTATTTGTGTGGGTGGTTTGGATTGTTCTCCGGTGAAAAATTGCTCCCCTCTGGGATTTATTTGCTCAAGTAGCCTAAATGGGTTAGCGACAGAATGGAATTCAATACATGTTTAAGCAAGGTGGACACAACAGGGAAACCATCAGTGTATTGCACTACGCTGGCAAATTAGTTGATGACAGCCCCGAAAAGGGCTACTTCTTTCATTTCAAACAACATTCTAGCTCATGTGATGCTAACTGTATGAGAACTACTAAATAAAGCAACCAAACCACCTTAGGAGGTCTCTCAAAGCATGCAAATGCCTTTCGCTACTGTCGGTCTCGAGAGTTTTCCGGCCTGGCCTTGTGGTTAGCACGTCTGCACCACAATTCTGTGGTTCCGGGTTCGAATCTTGCACTTTTCTCTCCTTGCTTGCATGGGTTTCTCCCACGTTCCAAAAACATGCGCGTCGGGTTTACTGAAGACTCAAAATTGTCCGTGAATGACATTAACGATGCAGTTGGCCTTACGGGCGGCTTGAAAAATAAAAAGCCGAAGCAAAAGTGTCATTTCAAAGCTCAGCGGTTGACATCACCGATTGAATTTCCCCAGCGTGGCTCCAATAAATGCTCTCCTCTTCACTTGGGCATCGCAGCGGTTCAACGTGAGGTTTTTCAAATGTGATGGCGTCGCCTTGGTTCGGGAGACATGTTTATTAAGCCGTCACAGACTCGGGGGCGACCACCTCTAGATGACATGACCGCTGTAACCCGGAGAGGCAAAGCGGTGGAATTCCTCTCTGTGTTGCCCTTAGAAGTGGGGCGGGGGGGACGGAAAGAATAGAGCCCATTCACTGCGCTCCACTCAAGCGGCACTCCAACACTAATGGAGATTGACATGAAGAAAGGCGACAAGTTGTTTTCACATGCGTTGCCTCTTCTCGCCGCTTTGCCGAGAGCAATGCAGACAGAGTGCGCGCTCTGGAAAGAGATGGAATTTGGTGCACTTGTTTTTTTGTGGAGTGGGGAGACAAGTGTGGCTCATTAGCCGTGCGTGTAATTACAATCTTGTGGCATTGTTACCGTGAGGACTGTCGCGCAGTCGGCTGATGGGCAGACACTGGAGAAGAACCGTAAAAGTTAGTGCGTTGTTTTTTGTTTGGTTTTTTTCCTTTTTGTGAAATGAAGGATAAATAACGATTGAGCTTCATGACAAAGTCGTCATCCCAAAAAGGCCGCACATTCATAGACAGCAAAACTCTGGGCTGGGGCTCAACGTTTAACTCAAACTGAAAGACATTTGGCAACAACAGTTTGGGGAACAAACAAAGCTCTTTCCATCATGTCGGCCACCACGGGCTGCTGTCCACGAAACGGAATGTCAGCCCAATGAGAGACAACGGGTAGATGACATCTGAGAGAGCGTGTTTATTAAATTCCATGCTTGCAAGTGCCTCTGGGCGGAGCCAATTAAAATATAGAGGCAAAACAACTTGTCTATTTAGTATCTATTTTCTCTCTTTTTTTCAAGCTGGTTACAAGGAATTAAAAAAAAATCACAATGTATTTAGTCATAAAACAGATGTCTTATCTTAACTCCATGCTTTTTTTTTTCCTTGACTGTGTTAGCCACTCTTCAGAATTCTTGCCAGACCTCAGTATGGCAAGCTGCATTTGCTTCTTTCTGGATGGGTGCCACGCATCACGGCATATGCTTATTCCGAAGAAGTGCAGCAAGGTTTTTAATAGTGATGCTTCAATCTTCTCAGAACTGCATACCGTTGACATTTCTGGAAAAAAAATCTGAACAATAAGTCAGGTCAACTCAACACGTACTCCTACAATACTGTATATGAATATTTCTTCTGGGTGGCTGCCGACCGGTTTGGGGCGCCTCTATCCCAAAAATCCGCTGAATCCTGTTCACCCACGGGTCTATGGCGAGAACAAACCCTGAAGAAATTGAATGGACGGATAAAATATTTCTTCATGGGCCAAGAGGAGCGAGTCGGGAAACAGTCCCGTGTGGGTTTGAGCGGCATTGCGCCAAGTCCATTACAAGCCTGGGCTATGCATTACTTATGAATCCCTTTAAGACTCTTTTACTTACTTGGACCGGAGTGCATCTCTGGCGCTGCACATGCCACGTGAGGGCATCAAAACATCTCAGTGGCTGTCAGAATTTTTCCAAGCTCAAGCCTCTCTCTGTCGAGATGTACAGAGGCACCTTTTCCCTGACACGTTCGGGGAAGAGGTAGAGGCATATACGGAATTCAAAGTATTTCTCGTGCCCCGCACACACACGGTGAAGAGCTCAAGCTATGTGACTCACTCTGGTGTGAAAGCACAGCGCCGTTGTGGGAGGATGACATCACAACCCCCTGCAGAGAGAAAAAATGGCCTAGCAGTTGGACCAGGTTCAAGCTTGCACATATAGCCCCCCCCCCACACACACACACATGTGTTATGATATACAGTATAAGAACACACTCTCCCACTCCTCCTCCCCCGTTGCAGCCATCACAAGTGAGTACATTGAACATTTTCTCACCAGAAGTAGCACATATTGTCCTGAGGAGACACCCCAGGTGTTTTGTTGTGGATTTCCAAACTCAACATGAGGCGGGGAAGACGGGGGAACGGGCAATGGGGGTTGAGCCAGTGGTTGGCCAGGATACGGACACGCTCTGACAGGATTTGGGGGGATGGGGGGGGGGCTGTGGTTGGAAAACAGGACGGGAGCATGCAACAGATGTTGAGAATCGTCATCTGGTTGTTTTTCTTTTATGACCGGTTGGTGCGATGATGTGCACTGAGCAGGTTGACCCCCCCTCCCCCCCGCCTTGCCTGCACCTGCAATGACAGCTCAAACACAGGGAGAGTCAGTCACTGTCATAGGACCCCCCCTCCCCCCTGCAGCATCAGCGTACATTCTGCATTCAAGTGAAAGAACACTCTCACGCTCAGTCACTCTAATGCGATTGAGGAGAAGGCGGCGAGATTAGAGCTTGATCTCAAAGACAAGTTGCTGATGCAGTGGTTCACCATCCAAAGCAGATTGGGGGTCTTTTTTTTTTGTTGGGCAGAGAGAAACTTCTTTTCCTTTTTTTTTCCAAATTGATGAACACAAGCTTTCTTCTGAGTGCAAATCTCAAATATCTCAGCTCTTGTCATGATCATAAAGCACGCCCGTCAGCAGAGAGTGTCGTCTGACACAAGCGACGTGTGACAAAATCTGGCTCAAACTCAGGGGAAGAAAAGTGATGACGATTCAAAAGCTGGGCACACAAACTGATTTTTTTTTAACTGGACTCGGCGGTAAAGACAATGGATGGGTGGTTGGATTTTAGAACGTGAGCGACTCAGCAGGTGATAAGAAAAAAAAAATCGGCAAGTGGCTGTGCCGATACTGTAAGTCAGTTACTCAAATGTATAAAAATGCTCGAATACTACGACACCCGATACATCTTGGCCCCGTCTGACACTGGTAAGATAATTTTGTTCTCCCTGACCATGTGGTCCTCACAGCTCTTGAGAAAGAATCAACCTGTGCTTGAGTCAAGCTGTTGATTGACATTTCAAGTGGAAGTTTCTGAACAAACACGAAAGCGAATCAAACAATTTGGTGCCCGGCCCCTCACCTCCAACTTGAGAAGAGACACACCGATTGCACCACTGTGTTTTTCTTGCAGTGTTCTTAATGTTGTTGTTGGACGGCAAGGGTCTGCTCCCTCCTACTCAGTCCAGTTTCTGACAAGAAGAAATCAAAGTACAGGTGGCATGGAAAGATGGACAAAAAAAGGATTCGGTGGTTGCTCAGGTTTGACTTCCACCCACAGTCTCCAAGTGCGGTGTACGTACCGTCTATTTTCCCTCATGATGCGATAAAGCTTCGGCTCTCTTTGGATGGAGGGGCCAGAAGTGCGTCCGGATGGGTTGGCAGGATGTGACAACAGTTAATTAAAACTGTGAGTCAGGTATTTGAGGATTAGTAGCGTGTGTTGGCCCGCCGTCGTCATCTCCTGGGAAATCGAGGCTGTGGACACTAATTACATCTCTGCATGAAAATGAGATTGCCGTTTTTTTGCTCGTTTGAGTGCGTTGTTATTTTTGCATCAGGAAAACATCAAGAGCCTTTGTCCACCCTGGATTTTGATGACGGAATAATGACTACCGAGATGACACCGACGGCAGCAAAAACAAACAAACCAAAAAAAAAAAAAACCCCGACACTATTTTGGGAAAAATAAAAATCCCGATGTACTACAAAAAAAAATAAAAGACTTTTTAAATCAAATCATTAAAATGTGCTTCTGACCAGTGTAATCAATATTACTGGCAGGAACTGGGGGGTTTATCCTCAGTTTTTGCTTCGGGAACCAGAGACTTGTGGACAAGCTCCGGTTGAAATGATAATCTAGCATCTGTTAATTATTCATAGGAATTGAGGCAGTCACTGACAAGTATTCAAAACAAACTCATTTCGTCATATTAGCTTGCATCCATGATCCGGACTGAACTGTTGGAAATCTTCAAATCCTCCGCTTGGAGCATCGCTGACCTGTTGTCATCTTATGTACTAAAGCTGTCAAATCAACGGCAAAGGATTAGGGAGGCGCCATGTTTCCTTACAGGTGAATTGAACTGCCGCGGATCTATCAAGGGCTATTAAATAGTGCACTCCATGTACTCGGTTAACTCGCACGAAGCTGCGTGGACACGCGTGGGTGATACGTGTCAGCGTGCGCGTTCACAATATGTGCGCGCGAGTGCGCGTCGGGTGTCACTCAGCCTCGGTGCGAGAGAGCGAGTTGTCATATCAGTGCCACATTGCATATTCATGCCGATGCTAATGTCACCCCGGGCGCTTTAACGAGTTGACAACATGAACAACTCGGATGAGGCGAGGAACAAAAGCTTCGCAGCTTTTTTTTTTTTCTCGCTCCCTTGGAGAACACAGTCCCTTGTCAACCTCGTACAAGTTCATCACCAGCAGTTTCAGTGAATGAGGTGAAATAGTCTCATATAGTTTAAGAAGAAATAGAACTGGGGGGGGGGGGGGGGGTGGAAATGACCCCTCACGTGC